TAACTTCCCATATCTTTAGGCTATTTTAAAGTCAAGCAAACTTTTCCAGTGTCTACTGTTCTAAAGGCTATGGATATGAAGATGAAGGAGAAGCAGTTCCTGTCCTCAAATATGCTCCATAGTGGCTAAAGCATTGTAGTTACTGCCGTATTAATTACAAGAAAAAAATGATTTGAAGGCTACTTCCCACATAAGTGCTTGCCTTTCTCATTTAACACTGTATAAGTGAAAAACAGTCCTGAACACACAAACGTTTTATTCTAATTCAAGGTGTCTCACCTTTCCTATCACTAACATTTTGAACAAAAAGAACTGTTTGCTGTGGAAGCTTGTCCTGTGCATTGCAGAATATTCAGCAGCACCTCTAGTTTCTACTGACTAGGTGCTAGCAGTGCACCCCAAGCCATGACAACAGATAAATGTGCCCAGACATCATTGCCAAACTGCTCCCTGTTGAAAACCACTAACAGGCAAGGAGGACATCAACAGGTTAAAGAAAATTAGGGTAAAGAGAGTTTGCACAGGAGGCTCAAAAAGAAATGGAAAGTCTGAGAAACCAAGAGAGGGAAGAATTTCACGAAGGAACCTAGTCCAGCGGTGTCACATACTGTATATAGTAACGAAGATGAGGTCTGAGAATAGAGTCCAAACCCAGCATTTCAGAAGTGATTTTTAGATATTGACCTTTATCACACAGCATCCTTCTCCAGCCCAGTCGTTCTTAAGTGGTCATATCCAACCGTGTCACCTGGACATAGCTACTTCCAGAAGTTCATTCAGTCTTTCCAGAGTGTGTCTGGTTATATATATTGTTTAATTAAAAAAATATTTTAATTAAAAATATATATGTTATATACATAAATATATTTTTTTAATTACCTGCATGATCCTGGCATGCATCTCTGATTAACATCTACTTCTCTAATTTCATTTTCTATCTCTTTTGTTCCCCCATAATTACGATCTTGTCCTTAGTAGTGTGGGATAGTATAAAAAGTACCAAACTAAATTGTTCTGGTCAGAGTTCCCAATTTGACACTAAGTAAATGTTCACTGGAGGAAATCCCTTAAATTCTCAACAGCAGTTTAATCACCTGTAAAATTGGACAGGACAGTCCCCCTAGCACTAATCTTCTACATATAATCTCATTTACTTATTTATAAGCATGCGTGAAATTTTTTTATTTCAAAATATTAAGGGGCTACACACGCCTTTGTTAAATGGATACCTTTCATAATACGTAAGTCAGGGCTTTTGATGTATCTGTTCCAGAATAGTCTTCATTGTACCAAATAGGTAAGTTTTTATCCCACATCTTCCCTCCCACCCTCCCCCTTCTTGGTTTCCAATGTCTTTTATATCTCTTTGGGCCCATGTATACCCATTGTTTTGCTCCCACTTATTAGTGAGAACATGTGGTATTCGTTTTGAATGCTAAGTATATAGTAGGTTCTAAATAAATATCAGTTTCCTTTTATTCCCACAGTTGCACCAGAGCTTAGAAAATGTTGCCTCCATCTTAGAATTAATAAGAGCACTCAGTGAAAAATGTGATATAGTAAAAGCAACCAATGTGATATTATATAAACAGCATGAGTTAGGTTCGTGAGGTAGATTGTAAAATGCTCATAAATTTCTCACTTCCCTATAAGCATTTCCCATCGTGATATGATTTCATCAGAATATTTCTCCACCCCTTAAATTTGGGCTTGGCCATATGATTTGCTTTACCCAAAGGAACATTAAAAAATGTAGTGTAGAGTCATACAAAGTGCTTAAGTATTGAGGAGGTTACCATTGCTTGCTGTTAGAAACTCTCTACCATGTGAACAAGTTGGGGGTGACTTCCTGAATGATGAAAAACTACCTGGAAAGAGGTCCCAAGCCTTCCCAGTTACCCCACCTGTCCAAGACATGTCAGAGAAGTTGCCTAGCTAGATCATTTAGTCTCTTTCCAACCAAACCTACTCAGATCAGAAGAACTTCCCAGATGACCTACACACTCATGAGAAAAAAATAAATATGTATTGTTTTAAGCCACTTACTTTGGAGGCTATTTGCTGAACAACAACAAAAAAAGAAGAAAACCTAACTGAAAGTGCCCATTATTATAGTTCTACACTTTAATATAGCTGTGTAAACTTGTGCAAGTTACTTACTATATTGAAATTCAATTGCCTTACTTAGAAAATTGATATAATACCTTCTGTCTATTTATGGTTATGGCAAGAACTACCAGAAATAACATGTTTAAAACCCTTAGCACAAGGGCTGGTATGTGCTAGGAACTCAATAATGTTCATTTCCTTCTCTTTCTTCTCTTCTAACAGTTCTTCATAGAATATATTCAGGGCCCTGATGTATGTTTGTACGAGATGTGCCAAGCACAAAAGCACCAAGTCTAAAGAAGAACTGGAACCTGTAGTACAGTCCATACTCTGCTTCCTAAACTGTGTACCCTGGCTTTGGATTTTCTCTACACAGAGGAAGGGGTCCGTTTAGCTAATTCACACAGAGACATTAAAAGTCTAATTGTTCCTGGGTCTTATTCTTAACAAATTTCTGTTAACTTGAATTAAATTATTCAGCAGTGGAAAGTTAGTATGTTACATTTTAGAAACTAAAGTGGCCAAAGTTGTCATGACTGATTTCTAAGGCTAGAAGAAAGAGTCAAACACATCATCACTATTCCTAGATCTCTAGTGAATTAGACATCTATTCCATTTCAGAACTTATAAACAAGGCTACATTCTGGAAATGTTTCAGCCTCAGAAAACTTAAGATGTAACACACTATACTTGGATTATGCCTACTATCTTCTACTGTTTTGACTTCCTTAATTCTCCTTAATTGTACTACATTTGATCTTCAACTTTTGATTCCCCCATTTTCTTCAATCTGTCAACAGCCTCTTGCAACACTCACTTTTCTATGGACTACATTGTACATTACTCAAACTGCTTGTTCATAAACACCCTCAGTTGCATCGCATTTCTTCCTTTCTCTTCATCTGTATAACACAAAAGCTCTAATGCTGGGTGAGCTTTAATGAGCTCTAATGCAAGCCTCCCTTTTTGTTCTAATATCTTTCTCTAGCTATACTAGAGGAAAAAAAGAAGAGTATAAAAATGTAAATGTTTTGTACATTAATATCCGCAAGCCACAGCTGGACTTTGGACATCGCTTGGAAATCTTTGACCACTTTTTTTCTTTCTTCTAAGTAACTAATCCAATACTCCATCATACTTCTTGATTCCCTAACTCATCACCATTCCTCCATTTATTCACCCATTCTTTCAAAGATTTGTGTTAAATTCCTACAATGCAAATTATAACTTGAGGAAACCTGGAGATAAAACAATGACCAAAATGTGAATGATTCCTGCTGTCATAAAGCTTGTACCTAGTCAGAGAAAGAGAAAACAAACCAATAAACAAGATAATTATGGTTGCTGGTAAGTGTTATGAACGAAATACAAAGGGTAGGCTGAGAAAATTACAAATTTGGGTGGAGTAGGAGGGGTGATTAGTATTCTTAAATGATAGAATATAACATCTATGGAAAACATATTTCAAATTTGAAAGGTGAGAAGACAGCCTTAGGAAGAGCTGTGAGAAGATACCAAAGCAAATAGCACAGCATGGGCAAAAGTTTTGATTTTGTAAAAATTCATTGTTTTAGAGATTGTCGTCAGTAGGTCAGTGTACCCAGAGCACGGAATACTCAGATATAGGGTTTAGCCATGACATAGGAAGTAGAGTGATTAACAAGTATTATGAAAAAATTAAAGAGAAAGAAAAGAAAGAAAGAGAAAGGAAGGAAGAAACAAAAGAAAGGAAAAAAATAGAATATACTCTAGCAAATTAAAACAGTAAAAAATGATATTAAAACTTAGAGATAGCTCACAGACTTTTTGGAAGGGCAGAGGGAACCGGCTTGGCGTTCACACAAGTGCTACTATGTGCAAAATTCACTCTAGGATTATACCAGTGAATAATTTCTGTCACTGCTTCTGGAATTAGAAACCTCACGTGGAGGGGGTGGAAATGACGGATTAATGGTGACCTCCTGGCTCTCTGCTCCCAGAGTGGGAGGTGAAGAATGTTGACAGGTACACAGGGGTGGATCACTCTCCCATAGGAACAGCATTGTGAATCTGCAGAGAAGCAGTGCAAGACAAGGAGTGTTGGGGGATAAAGGTGAATTGGAGAATAACCATTAAGTCCGGAGTGTGCAAGATACACAGTAGGGAATAGAGCCTGTGACAGCCATGCCTACTGGCCGGCTGGGGCAGTGTGGTCTGACCCACAGGAGGACGACTCTCCCTCCACCGACCTCCACATCCCCTCAGGCAGGGAAGAGTCTGGAGTCAGTGGGAAGTTGAGGCACAGGCTGACGGGCAGTGTGGAGAAGAGAAGAGACAAAGTCGGGGGCAATTTTGAACTCTCCAGTGCGCTGTGCGAGGTCCCCACTGGGCAGGGGAAGGACTGGCCTAAACGGACACTTCCTGGATCCCCAGGAAGGAGTTTGGAGACAGGCTTCTTGCCTCTGATGCTCACGGGGCCCAGAACAGGGAAGGTGAGCGGCAAGGGAGAGACTCTGCCCCTGGAAACCGCGGAAGATTCAGTCGGTGCAGGGTGGGGTAGAGTGTGTGGGACTCTCTGGTGGACGGGTGCGAGACAGAGCATCAGGGAAGTGGAGGGGACAGCCGGTGGCTTGCTGAGACAGCCTGCCAGGTCGAGCGCCGGCTGCTCCCACAAACAGTTGCTTCCAGTGCCGGCTCTCTGTGGTGGGCGGCCGCCATTTTGGGGGTGCATAGCCTAGAAACGCTGAGGCGTTGCCGAACTGGGCGCCGTCCCTTCTCCAGCCCAGCAGGGCAGGCCCAGGCGATGGACTCAGCCAGCGCCACTGCCACTGCCCTGCAGAGCAAGCCCACCCTTGGAGGAGAGGAGTAAGGAGAGAAGCCGCTTTCTGAACAATCCACCCCCAGCCTCTCACCTTTTCCTGCTGGCACAAATCCTGCCCCTGGAGGGGCGGAGTAAGGAGAGAAGCCACTTTCCTGGCTGAGGTGCTCCAAGGCCTGGAGGAGCTTGTCCCGTCGCCCTGCTGCTTCCACCTCACGCCTACCAAGCTTTGCCCTTGGAGGGGCTGCTTTCTGAACATTCCGCCCTCAGCCACTTGCCTTTTCCGGCAGGTCAAACCCCAACTTTCATGGAGCAATGAAAGAAGCCACTTTCCTGACTGAGTTGCCGAACAGCCATGGGCTGAGTGAGAGGAGATTCCCAGCCGCCCGTTCTACCTCACACTAAGCCGGCTCTTCCCTTGGAGGGGCGGAGTAACCAGAGAAGCCGCTTTCCAGACCGAGTTGCCTTGCCCTTCAGAGGAGCTTGTCTGCACTCACGTCCATTTCTACCTCACGACTACTGAGCTCCGGCCTTGGACAGCAGAGTAATGAGAGAGCCTGCTTTTGGGGTGTCGCAACCCCATGGCCTCAGACGAGATTCTCCCCAGGCCTGGCTGCTTCTACCTCAAGCTGAGCAGGCTCCTTCCTTAGGGAGATGCAGCAAGGAAAGAAGCCACTTTCCTGGCTGAGTTGCTCCACGGCTTGGAGGAGGAGCCTGTCACCTCGCCTGACCTCTCCTATCTCAGACCTATGGAAGTCCACCGTTGGAGGTGCACAGTAACCAGAGAGGCCGCTTTCTGGGCTGAGTTGCCCCCACGGCTGCAGCCTCTTAGGGGCTTCCTACCAGAATGCTTTTACCTGGGTCCCTCCATTTTTGGAGTTATTCTTTGTGACAATAAGACACTGAATCATTAACAGGATCTAAGGCCATTGAAGAAGACAAAGCTTAAACCACACCTGCAGGCCATCAATTTACTCAACAGATCCCTTGAGTCCTGTATATTTCTAGTGGCTTGTCTCTGATTAACAGATTTCCTTATTTTAACTTACAACACTCCAAGCCTATAGATAAAGCTTCATTTCTTTAATGAATTGCAAATCAACGAATCTTTGAACCCACCTATAACCTGTAAGCCCAGCTTTGAGATGCCCACCTTTTTGGGCCAAAGCAATGTACACCTTCCATGCATTGACTTATGATTTTACAAGTAATTCCTACATTCATGAATATATAAAATCAACCCTTCCACCTTGGTCACATTTTCTCAGGACTTCTTGAGGCCAAGTGTTCCAGACCATCAGTCACATCCATTTGGCTCAGAATGTATCTCTTTAAATTATTTTCCAGATTTGGGGCTTTTATCCATTAATACTCATGTTGCACATATATATTGTAGGTTCCCTGAGTCTCTCTTGGTGTAGTTCCATGTGCCTCCTCATTCAAGCTAAAGGAGCAGTCTGTATATCAGTCATGCCTTTCTTGTGGTAGAAGCACAATCTTATGGTAGAAGAGGCTAAGCTATTTCATGAGATCACATTTAAAGCTTCAGTTTGCTAAATGTCATGGCGATTCATATTCTCTTGCCCAAATTAAGTCTCATGGCAAATTGTCTCATAGAATGAAAAAATATAATTCTCCCATGGGGCAGAGTGGTGAAAGGGTTGGATGTGTGAATATTAGAGAACAATAATCTATTAATACAACCCACTATATTAGGAACAAATATTTATTTCTCTTATTTCTGCACAGAAAACATACTCCCAAAAAGATATCCTATTCAATCCTATCCTATTCAACCATGGCATCAAATTGTTATGTACATCATTTTTAATAATCTCCACTTTAAGACTAGATGATGACACTCAACTGGCTCCCACATCCATCATAAAATGGTGGATATCTACTGAGAAGTGTGACTATTTGAAAAAAGAATAATGAAAGACACACAGCATTCAATCACTGGCCCATAGATTTCTGAAATTCAGTGAGATAATGTAGGGGAGAAAAAGTAATATTTTTCTCTCACCCATTGCAAGATTTACATCTGACATCCCTATAACAAAAGACAGATTAATAAGAGAAAAGCATAACAAATTTATTTAACCAAAGTTTTATGAGACACAGGAGACTTCAAAAATGAAGAACCAAAGACCCAGGAAAAGCTGTATATTTTTATGCTTATCTTTGATGAAGAATAGACAGCTGTGTAGAAGTATGCTGGGACAAGAATGAGTATGATCTAATTATTATAAACTGGGGAAAACTTAGCAAGACCTTTTTTTCAGAGTCTTCTTGGCATCTCTTATTTTCATTCCTTTCATCGAGGTATACGGCAGGACACCTGTCCTATGAGGAGGCCTTACCTTCAGGGGAGTTAGGTAAGAGAATTCTTTTTATGAACTTAAGGGAAAGGTGGGAGAAGGTCAGAGAGTGACCTTCTTGCTTCTGTGGTTTCCTCAAATCCCTTCAGTTCAAAATACTCAGTGTGTCCAGGTACCAGATTTTGGGGTATTGTGTTCTCCACCCCATAAATAAACATTGCATATCCCTTTCCTTGATTATAGAGAGTGTTCCTCAATGGTCCTCTGGTACTGCCCACTGAATGGAGCTCCACAGATCAATGTTCTCTATAGGCCTAAGCCTTGCCTTCTGGGAAGTGTTTTCTTTTGACAACATGTGACAAGAGTTTTCTCAGTCTTTTTCTTTCCAGTAGTATATTGGGAGCCAAAAGTCCATTTTACATATTGAACAGTCACAAACTTTTAATACAGGCTAACATTGATTTTAAAAATGTAAATATTTCAAAAAGAATTTCAGATTTCTTTTTACCTATTTGATGCGAGTCAGCTAAATATTCTAATAGCCACATAAAAAATTAATTTTGAGACATGATTTTCTCCTTCGATTAATTGCAAATGATTTTCAGTATATCTGACATTCATTGGGTGGCATCCTCTGCCCAACTAAAAGGATCTATCAGAGGCCATGTAATAACAAATGAAATACATCTATTCAAAAGTTTTCAACAAAGGGTGATCTTGTCCAGCCATGCTTATCATTCGTGCTTTTCCCTTGAGCATGTGCCTTAATGATTATACCAGATAGCCTCAGCTAACTTAAGGAAGAAAGAATAGGGCCTAACAATGGACATGGAGGAAACTTTCAGAAGCCATGGAGGACAATGGACAAATCAGACGTGAACAAGAGTCTAAACAAGGAATTATTTTTTTCACTGCCAATTCAGGAAGTTTTTATGATTCCTGCCCAGCAAGAGTTCATCTTTTCTGTTCACTAGTGACTGCTATGTGTTTTCTGTTCTTCCCAATTCCAAATTGCCAAAAGGGGGCTTTTATTGCCAATACTCTATTTCTATTTCCCATTTTATTATATATTATGTGTGTGTATGAGTGTGCATGGACACTGAGGGGTGAGAGAAGTAACCTGTTAATGTATATGTAACCAGACCTTGAGGAATAACATCCTCACTCAATGCAGAATGAGAGCCTTGCATATGACCCAGAGATTCGAGACTGTGCAGAATGCGCTGACTACATCGACATTTGGGTAGCTTGTGGTACACAAACATAGGTACAATAATATGTATTGATACTTAAGTAGTCAGAAGGAAAGAAACTGTTAAATCATTACTTAGTATCTTTTCACTAGTTTGTTAACAGTCTATTTCCTCCCCACATTTTGAGCTGGGACAGCCCAAATCTAAGGTATGTTTCTGAGCTTCCCTCGTGGCTTGGGAGCCATAATCTCAATTGCATTGTGAGTAGATGAAATATGTGATGCAAGGCAACATCTTGCAAAAGAAAGCTTATTGCTCTCCATTTCTTTCCTTCCTGCTGGCTGGGAAATGATAACTTAAATAACCACCTAAAACCAAGAAATGGAAGCAAAGAGTTAAAGATAATAGATGCTCCCTCATCCAACATGCTTAATACTCTTAAAACAACTACCAACCTCTGCCAAAAAGTGAGACAGAAATAAACCTCTGTTAGAGTCAATGAATCTTGACTTTTTTTTTTTTTTTTTTTTTTAGACAGAGTCTCACTCTGTTGCCTGAACTAGAGTGCCATGGCGTCAGCTTAACTCACAGCAACCTCAGACTCCTGGGCTCAAGCGATCCTCCTGCCTCAGCCTCCTGAGTAGCTGGGACTACAGGCATGTGCCATCATGCCGGGCTAATTTGTGTGTGTGTGTGTGTATTTTTTTTTTAGTTGTCCAGCTAATTTCTTTCTATTTTTTCAGTAGAGATGGGCTCTTGCTCTTGTTCAGGCTGGGCTCAAACTCCTGAGCTCAAACAATCCTCACACCTTGGCCTCCCAGAATGCTAGGATTACAGGCATGAGACACCACGCCTGGCCTCTTGACATCTTTTTATAAACAGAAACTCAACCCGTATCCTAAATAATTCAATAAGCCATCTGTGTATGTTCCATTTCATCTCCACAAATCGCCAAAGAGGTCAGTCATCTTAAGTGGAATATTGAGTGAGGACTGGGAGAATAAATATTATTCTCTCAATATAGTTCTCTTCTAAGTGGTGAAGCAGGAGTGTTGACCTTACTTAAGTGAACAAGTAGACACTGATTACGTAACAGCACTCCGAATAATCTGTGATAGCATTTGCAGTCTCGGCTCCACTGGATCAGACCCCTGCTTATGTGGCTCCGCCTTTATGGTCTCTGCACTTACTGAGACACCTGCCACCCCCAGAGCTTAACTTCTATCTACCCTTCCCACACTGTGGTCTGCCATCACAGCCCCACCCACACAGCTCTTGCCCTGCCTCAAAGATATAGTTCTGGCTTTGAGGCTCTTACTGCACTGGCCCATAATCTAGAGCTATAAGCATGATCCTACTGATACATCAAACACATTTTAACCTAACACATGACCATTATCGGCCCAAGACATTGCTATTATTATTATTACTATTATTTAATATTATTGCTATGTTATTAATACAATATCAAATATAATTTTGCAATTATTGCTAATCTCAGAATAATTTTTTTTTAATCTTGACCTCTCATCCCCTTTCAGCTACCAATATATTTCTTTGCTTTATCTTTATATACCCTCACTTTTTCCTGAACCTGCCTTTAACTCCTTACTTCCACTTTTGTAAGAAGATAAGATGCCATTTTGGATGCTCTATTTCTACTCAAGGATAATGTCTCCATCTTCCTTCTTAACTCTTCAACTACATTGGTCTATCTCAGAGCCCTTTGTTTCGGGTATTTCTCATTATATTTGCTCTTTTTTTCAACTTTTGAACATCAATATGACTAGTCCACTGTGAAAAAAAATAATCCTTTTATTCTATTTACCCAGGCTTTCCATTTTCTTTCATCCTCATTACCAAGATCTTTAAAAAAAATGTTGGGTCTTCTTTTTCTCACATTACTTTCACTTCTCTGTCAATTGTTAACTGTCTTTTTTTACCACACTCCACTAAAATTGCTTCGGAAAAAGGTTACCCACAATACCCTTATTGCTGAATGCAAAAGAAAATATTTCTTTTTCTTTCTTTCTTTCTGTTTAGGCAAGCAATAGCTAACACTGGTCCCTGGTAATAGAGTGTCGCATCATCTGATTTCACACTGCCTCCAGGACAAACCCACAAACTCTGTGAGGGTGTTTCCAGATTACACAGGTATTCTGTGGAGCTAAAGGGTCAGCATGATCTTTGGCACATAATCAATGGCTCTAAAGTTGAAGATCCTAGTCAATCTTAGATCATTTGTCAACAAACTTCATAGCAATTACATCCTACTGGCCACAGAGCAAAGTGATTTGTCAGAAAATACGTGCCAACACACAGTGGTGCTTCTGAGACATCCAGGGGTGCTGAGAGGGTTCTTGGAGGGTGACAAGTTGGTTGTCATGGCAACGCTTTAGGTCCTCAGGAACAGGGAGAGCTATTTCATCTTTTGAAGAAGGCTTAAGGACTGCTTTCCTACACACAGAAGGACAATAAAATAGTCCAGAGCTTCAGTTTTTTTCTAGGTCTATGTTAGAAAGAGAGGCACCCATATTCCAGATAGCTCAGGACATTTTCATATGAAGAAATAAGGCCTCAGGAAGAATCCTAAGTTTTT